TTTGAGCCAGGTATGGCTTCCCAAGGACTCCTGCCTGTTTCAAGTTCAGTATCTCGTGTGCACTTCCACAGGTCCCAATACCATGTCTTCTATCCTCAGTGTGCCATTGTTTCCTCTGCTAAAAGTTCTGTTACATCACATCTAGACAAGTCTTCATAGGCTGTGTCTTCAGCACACAGAAGGCCTCTATAATGAGGGAACTGTTTGGTGGCCAGGGAAATGCTCACTCTAAGAACATCTCCTGTGTTGTAATATACATGCAAGCTCCAGTTCTCTCTAATGGTGTGACTGAGGTAGCAATTAATAGCAACCAGCAGCTTTTCTGCCGCTGTCTTTTCAACACAAATGTTACAGACACACTCTGTGGCCTTGATGATGCCATCTGCATGATTTTATTCACAATGAAGTCTATCCACCTGTAATCCCTTGGCAAACCCCGTCTTGTTAAGTCTGGGTCTGTGTTTTATCCAGGCCCCTGGTTGATTTTTGGGGACATTCAAGTTTAAGAAGTGCTCCCTGAAAGATGTCATGCTTCTTTCCCCATGTAAGGCTGATGAAACAGTAGACATCTGGGGTGATTTGATGTACCCACAGAATCATCCAAACCTAGAGAACAAAAGGTCTGTGTTCAATTACATGGCTACATCTCTCTTTCTCTCTCTCTTTCTCTTTTTTCAAGACAGGGTTTCTGGCTGTCCTGGAACACCCTCTGTAGACCAGGCTGGCCTTGAACTCACAGAGATCCACTTGCCTCTGCCTCCTGAGTGCTGGGATTAAAGGCATATGTCACCACCTACCTGTTCTTTTCTTTTTATATATACTGGATGCATCATTGTGAAGGATTGAAGAAAAAGTTGTTGTTTGGACCCATGGAGAAACTTGCAATCAAGTCACGTGAACTGCTGAATGAGGCATGTATAACTTCCTGGAATCATCTGTTCAGGCCTAAGGGAGTTTCTTGGGGGACTGGAGAGCTGACTCTGCAATCTGGGAAGCCCAGAACCACTTGTCTGGTTGTCTGAGTTGTCAATTACAAGTCCAGGGAGAAATAGTGAAAGGCCACCAGGAAGGTCCATCTTCAGGGCCACCTGTTGTAGGGGACCATCTTTCATGAAGGGGCAGTGAGTAGTGGGGTTTGAGTCTCCAGGATCAGGTAGAAATGATATAACCTAGCATGTAAGTGTTACCAGCAGTAGCAGCCAGAGACTCGGTGTGTTTATTTTATATATTTGTATCAAGGAGGTAGGTTTATTGCATGCAGCTGAACAAAAGAGCAGGATCAGTCATTATCTGTAGGGGGTCTCTAGTGTGGAGCAGTCTCAGGCTGTAAATATCAGGGACAAGGAAGCTGCTGTTGACACTTTCCATATATGTTGTCAACATCTGCACACAGCCTAGGGAACATGGGAAGGCTTTGCCATTCCTGTGAGCCAGAGGTCCTGGGGTCCTGGGGTCCTGGGGTCCTTGGCATGGCTGTGCTCATGTCAACAACACACATTGACTCAGGAGTTCATGTGCTCCCCACAGGTGTGGATCCTGCTCCATGCCTTTGTAGAACACCCAGGCCAGCTGGCAAAATTTCACCCAAGAGCAAGAGGGAAGTGACTGCAATCCAGACACCTTGCAGGAGAGGCACGATGCCAGCCTGCCTCTGTCCTGCCATGAGTGACGTAAGCACCTCTTCGCTGGTGTCTGATAGGGTCCTTCATCCTAGACCTGGAAGTGCCTCTAAGCACATCAGTCCTCAAACGGTTGGGCACAACAAAGACGTAGTTGGTGCTTTGAGGCCTCTTCCTTGCTGTCCAAATGGGTAAGGAAATACTAACTCCCACACATAGATGAGCATGCTTGGTACCCTGGGCTCATGGTCTGCCTACAAATCCTCCCTCCCTCTTCTTGCTGCCAGCTGGATCCCTGATAAGCCCCCCTCCCCCGCTCCACCCACTGGGGGCATGAAGCTAGCAAGGGAGTCTTTAGTCTATGCCTAAGTGATATGTCAGAAGCTGTGAGAAGTACAGCTCTGCCCTCGAGGAGCTCATGTGCTTTCCGAGAAGACAAGACCAGCCCACAGAAAAGAGATAGGAGCTGGAAAACCATAGTCTGCAAAGACCCCACCTTGGCTAAGGTGTGAAATAAAGCTGGTGGCAGAGCCAGTGGCTTATACACAGGTGAGTAAGGCCAGGGGCAGGTAAACAAGGCAAGGGCCTTATTGTGACAGATCTCAGGGGCCACTGCTCCGGACCATCATTGGAGTCTGAGAGCAGATTCCTGGTGGGCTTGGGGAGACCCCATCTATGCTCATCAGTGACAGCTCCCTGGGAGGAGCTGGCTGCAGCAAAGGCTTGGTGGGGTGCCGATTGGGAGTGCTCCCAGGAGGCAGGGCTCCTAAACATGATGGATTGCTTTCACTGTGCTGCAAACCCTCCTGCCTGCAGGCAAATGGCTTAGAACAGGTACAAGAATTTAAATTGCCAAACTATGTTTGCTGACTTGAGCTGCTGGTGGGGAGGGAGGTGGGGAGGGACCTCTGCTCTCCTACAGAACTACAGGGAATCTCACTGGGCACACATATGTGACTCCTCCACAGGTCTGAGGGCCTGGGGCTCACTGAGGCTCCTCACCCTGACTTCAAGATCTCCACCATCTACCTCACCCTAACCCCGACCTCTCCAATCATGCCTCCTCCATTTCTTAGTCATAACAGTCTCTGAAAGCTAGGCTACTCTTCTCCCCCGAAAGACATCCCCTTTCTGGCCTCCTCTCCCATATACAGTATTCCCTCAGCCATGCTCCAAGTAAAGGCTAACCTTTATATCTCTCACCGTGAGAGGTTCTCTGCCTTGTCTATAGGCAGCAAAGAAACCTTCAAGACATGGCTCACTACAGGCTGACCTGAAAAGCTGGGAGAATGGACCAGGCAAGAAATACATATCCAGGACCATCTGAGTGCAGTTCTTCCCCAGAGAAAGACGTTCATCCAGATAACAGCCTGTAGCCTTGAGCAAGGGTAGAAGAGAGGACAGGGTGGAGAGCTGGAGGTGAGATGTGCTTACACATATGGGACCAGGATGTTAGGTGGGCAAGAGAAGTGTCCTCTTGATCTCTAGGGGTGGGGACATAAACGGCAGAAAGGTACCGTGATCACTCCTGCACACAACAGATAGCCTAGAGAGCCCCACTATGCCCTGAAAGGCTGCTGGGCTGGTATGTGGGAGAGGAACTGGATGGAGTTTGCAGAAGATAAACTGAGGGGAGAGGCTCTCAAGGCAAAACCATGTACACTATTCATGTACAGCATCTGCCACCACAAGCTGCCAGCTTAGGCAAGGAACCATGGGGAAGCAGTTGATTCTAGTGTTACACACGTGTAGGTCACTGTGCGACATGATGAACTGATGCAGGGAACCGATTCTTCCCTTTTTGTTCCAGGAATGCTGTTTTTTTTTTTTTTTTTTTCTGTTTTAAACAGAGGTCTCACTGCCCATTCATTAATCCTCTTAACACCGTGCGGGTTTATATCACACCTGAGCCTCTGATGATGCTGGAGACAGAGCAGGCAGCTGGCTCCACTCTGGCTGCCCAAGCTCACTTACGGGTGCTGTCAGCAGTATTTATTACACATTACAGGGTAGGTGCCCCCTACATCCTTCACACAGAAAATTAACCATGATGACAAGCTTTTTTTCCCCTTACACTTTAACACTAAATTTGCATAGATTTAACAAGTACAAAACTCTATAAATAAATTACGTTTAAATATAGGCATGAACACTTACTCCAAAGTCTGTAGGTGCCTCATTTGTCAGAGACGAAAGGTACTGGGATAATTTTTTTAGATACAACCTTCTGTTTTGTTTTTCCCATTTAAAACCCCATTGTGATCATGCCCTATGATCACAAAACATTTGCTTTATTTCTAGGCTTTCTTTGAAAGGCCAGGTTTTCACTGCTGATCTTTACAAGTTAAAATAAAACACAGTGAACCAATCAGGGATTGGTTCGTTCGTTCATTCATTCATTCATTCATTCATTCATTCATTCATTCACTGGCCATTTCTTAAGCATCTTCCATTAGGGCCAGACACTTTGCTAAGCCTAAGAGATGCAATTGTAAATCAGGTAAAATCCTGCCTCCCACATCCTAGTGAATCACACCCACAAGAGCTCAGGCTCTTCAAGTTGGGAAAACAGTTTTCTATTCCAGTCCGGCTTGTTCTGTTCTCTTGTCCATTCTTGCCCTCCTTCATCACTGGGTCACTCACTGGGCCATAAGAAATTAAGATGGAGCAATAGCATCCTCAACACATGCAGAAGAACCCAAACAGTCCGAACCAAACCTGAGACCCAAAGATAACACTAGCATCGATCCTTGGTCACCAGATCTATTGATGTCACTTACAGCTATTGATATTCTAAAGACCACTGGGCTCACTGCAAGAGCCATCTTTGCATTCCCATTGCCTCCCTTCCTCCCCAGCAGTCAGTCACCTAGGGGTGGCTGAAGAATGCTCTGTCTTTGCTTCCTGAGAGATCTCAACTGAGGGCCATTGCTCTGCCCTTCCCTGTACCACACTTTCAGAAACTCCCTCACCAGGAGACCCCATCCTTCTCTCCCACCCCTGTGTCCTCTAAGCACCATGGAGACATTCCCTAGGTGCTGAGCAGTAATGCAGAACTTGAAGGGCATCATCAGTCAGGCTCAATACTCTTGGTCAACAGACTCTGGCAATCTCTCCCAACCTCTGAAACATAATGGAACTGAGTGGGGAAGAACTGTGGTTAGAGTTGAGTTGCCCCTGACATTCTCAACTGTAAAATGGGGATTATACATCCTGTAAATGTTGTGAGAATGCAAAAACCACCACTTCTTGCTGGAAAAACAACTATACTTTAAAACTTCCTCTAGACATGTGCTGTGAGATTTGTGGGCATACCCAGTACCCTCTGTGCCCCAGGTCAAGTTGCCGTCTCATAGCAGGGACTGATCAAGCCAGGCTCACCTTGCCAGCCAGGCTTGCACACTGGCTTCACATCCACTTGGACCAGGGTGTCCTGAGCAGCAGGCTTCTGTCCACAGTCATAAGCGGTCACCAGGATCTCATACTGATGTTGCTTGTCAAAGTTCAGCTTTTCCGTGTTCCTGATGTTGCCTGAAGAGCAGGGATGCGCACAATCATTTCTGGTCAAATAAAGCAGGCTGCACATACTCCAAACCCTTTTCCCATCCCATCAACCTTGAGGGGGTATTGGAATGGTCCTTCCCCTACCACCACCTCTTTGAGAAAAATAAAGGCCAAGCAAGTGTGTGGCCACCATGCATAGTCTCTGTGCTTTGGTGGTAGCTTCCAGGAGACCCCTAGCTAGAGTTACCTCTCTGTGCAATGGGGAACCACAAGCAGCATCTGGAATCCAACTGGCCTGTGCTTACATGTCATGCATTGCCAGAAAAGTGTACATGTGTGTTTAGTGCTGGGTGCAGAGTACTTATCTACCATGAAGTTTCTGGGAAAGAGATGGAATCCAGACAATGTCCTGGCACATGATTTTTAGCATCTGGGCTTGTCGCCAGGAATACTCACTGCCTCTTCTCACATTATTTTGCTACCGAATAGGAAGTAAAATCAATAAGAAAATGTGTGACCTCTCTTCTGAAAGCTGCATAGAATAACAGATTTCTCGCCCTGAGCAAGGAGACATTTTTCTTCTCCAAGAGAGAACAAACAATGTATTCATAGCCACTTGTGTGGGTTTGCCTCAGAGGAATTTAATATTACGATCAGAAATAAATATTTGGTCATTAATGAGAAAATTTAAACTGACTGGGTTTTTTGTTTGTTTTTGTTGTTGTTTTGTTTTGGTTTTGATGGAATACTATTCTTGTTCCAAAGGAAAATGAGTAAAGACCCCAAACTCAATACTTTTAAGTGTTTAGTGCTAAGACATTAATATCCTCAACTTCAAGGAACCATTTCCTTCCTATATAGTCTCTCTCTCTCTCTCTCTCTCTCTCTCTCTCTCTCTCTCTCTCTCTCTCTCTCTCTCCTTTTGATGCTAGCAGTGACAGCAAATATGAACTCAGATGTTATCATCTCTTACCCAAACTGAAATTTTGAAAACAGAAACAAATCAACAAACACAGAATGGTGGATTCTGATATCTATTTTATATTTCCCTAACACTAAAAGAATGTTATGCAAATAAGCTTCCTCCATATCAACAGTTAAATATTATTTGTCTGAATTGGGGGACTCTGCTACAACAACAACAACAAAAAAAAAACACCTTAGAAAATTAGAAAATCAAACTTTGCTCTAAAGACCGGAGAAGCTGATTCAGCGATCACACCCACCAGCCCATCATGGTGGGGAAGTGGAGGCTGGTCAGTGTCAGAGAGAACACAAAGGCACCCAAGACACTGGAGCAAAAACACACCTTAGCTGAGTGCTCTCAGCTATTTCCGGAAACACAACTGTGTCTATTGATGTGTGACCCTATTATCTCAGTCAAAATGGGCTTGCTATGTTTCTCTATTCCTGCCTGATGTGTAGAATTCCTTGTCGTTTCCTCCAGATGTTGGTTTTACTCTGAAGGCCTGCACAGGTCTGGAATGGCTCCTGAGATTGGTAGCACTCCTCACAGCAGCATTCTCTACCTGCTGGTTGCAACCTCTTTGGGGGCCGAACCACCCTTTCCCAGGGGGCGACTGAGACCATTGGAAAACCCATCACAATTCATTACAGTAGCAAAATTACAAAGTATCAACGAAAATAATTTTATGGTTGGGTCACCACAACATGAGGAACTGTATTAAAGGGTCATAGCATTAGGAAGGTTGAGAACATCTGTCCTACAGACTCTGCAAACTGGTCTGTGGCTGTCCTCATCACCGGAAGGGAACTCTGCCAAGTAGAAACACCTTAAGCTCACCACAAGAAATATTTCTGCAGCACCGGATTGGATTCTGAATAGAAGTCTTAACTCTCTTTCTTCAGAGTGAAATGACTCCAGAAAGGTGGGCCACTTAAAAGAGGGGGGCTCAGGGTTGACAATCCATGTAGCATTAAGCAGACAAAGCACTATTGATTATAGCAGAAAAATAAATACACAAACAGAATCTTTGGCTCAATTTGTTACAGCTCTACTTCCGGAACAAGTCTTAATGCAACTGTCTGGGAGACTAATTTACTTCCTCCACAACCACCAATTCCATGCATGTGCAAATGAGTTTCAAAGCAGAGAACTTGAAACATTAGGTCACAAATGAGAGTATAATAATGTGGCCCATTGTTGCATGGGAGAGGGTTGTTTGGGGAGAAGACACACATTTAAAATGCTTTGAAAGCTGAGAAAAACTTACCCTCTTTGTGTCTGCTGCAAATGTATCTTTTATTCCACCTTGGAGTGAGCTTCTAGCTCCTGGCTGCTTGCCAGAGCTGGGCCATAGTAAACTCAGGTGAGCATGGCCCTGAGTCTGTTTATCAAAGTCTAAATGAACTTGGAAGCTAACCCTTAAAGGCCAATCAGACCTTACCTTGCATATTAATTACGTTTTTAATTCTTTAAAAAAAAATTAAACATCGGAGAGGAGGGTGAAATCAGCACACCGATATCCACACTATTGCAGGTGAAATTTAAGCTAAAGGAATTTAAGTTCCTTTCTGGAAATGTGCTTGGTGAACTATGACCACTGTGTATGTGTATGTGTGTGTGTGCATGTGTGTATGTGTGTGTGCATGTGTGTATGTGTGTGTGTGCATGTGTATGTGTGTGCATGTGTGTGTGTGTGTGCGCGCACGCACACGCACGCGCATGTGAGGATGTGTGTGTGCATGTGTGTATGTGTGTGTGCACACGTGTGTATGTGTGTGCATGTGTGTATGTGTGTGTGTGTGTGTGTGTGTGTGTGTGTGTGTGTGTGTGTGTGAAATTGCTCAGACCTTTGCAGATGCAATTCCTCATCTAAAATTTGGTTTCAGGGAAATGATAAAGGACAACCAACTGCAGATACATGTGTGATTCTGTTTATCTCAGTGTTTTTTACACACCCAAAACTAGTCTGCTAGTTAAGAGACGAGGAAGGCATGCATCTGTACATCTATGGATGCTGGCCTGGTGGGAAATACATAGTGTTTTAAGGATGGGTCATATACAGACAAAGAAAAGGAGGGGGAACAAGGATAATATGAATTTTATTTAAAAATTTCACAGAAACATCATAGACTGTTAATCTGGTTATCGTGTGTGTGTGTGCGCGCACGCGCGTGTGCACGCGCGCGGACACCAGAGGTCAATGCCAGGCATTCTTCCTCACATGTTCTCCATCTAATTTTTTTTTTTTTTTAGGTAGAGTATCTCTCTGAACCTGACTCTGTCCTGTTAGGTCAACTGTCTAGTCAACAATACCCAGGGAGCGTCCTGTCTCCACCCCACCCTCAGTGCGAGCCTTCCAGGCATGTGTCATTGAACCTGGCTTTTACGTGGGTGCTGGGATAGAACTTAGTTCCTCATGCTTTTCACACAGGACTGTCCATTTAGACCCTAATATTTTTTTTGGATGATGTGTGGCTTATTTCTGTCTCCATAATTTTGTGTTTTCCAAATTTCCCACATGGATTATTTCTCTATTCAAGTGAGAAATAGTTTTTACAGCTTACTTAAAGAATGAGCTGGCTTTGGGATACATTGACTTCAGTGTCCACAGTGCTCTAGAATTCCTGAGAGCAGCCTTTGTCCAGGGAGATGTGCAGCTGAGGCCACGTGGAAGCCAAACAATTGTCTACAAGCAGAAAACCCTGCCGAGGCTTGGGTGTCCCTGTGCCATGGAAACCTCTGTGGCGTCCTCCGCTCTCCTTCCCTAATGTGATCCACTGAGTGGCTGAGCCTTGCTGCATTAATCCACTCAGATACTTAATTCCAAGTTTATGGGTAAAGATTTGAGGACAAGGCTGAACTAAGCTGTCAAGGACTCTCAGCCCTGCTCCTCCTGGATGAGGAATGAAAGGTGAGATCGCATTTATGGGCTTCCCCCAGATTTATAAAGTACAACTGACCAGCACTATATATTTAGGGTATTATGTTGTCAGCCTTCTAGTCACCGTGACATGTATCTGATGAGAATAATTGAAGAGAGGAAAAGTTACATTTTGAGCCATGGTTTCAGAGGTTTTAGCTGTGGTCAGCTGACTCCATTACTTTTAGGTCTGTGATGAAGCAGAATGCCATGGTCAAGAACATTTGGTGGGCCAAGATGCTTCCTTCCTGGTGATCAGGAAGGAGAGAAAGACAAGAGAAGGGCTAGGAACAAGATACACCCTTCAAAGGCACATTCCCAATAACCCACTTCTTTCAGCCAGAACCCACCTCTCAGTTCCTATGCCCTCCCAACAACACCATCAGAAGATTCATCTACTGATGAGGTCAGAGTCCTCCTGACCCAATCATCTCTCAGTGGCTGGCTTCACTCGCTGGAGACCAAGTCAATACAGAAGCCCTTTGGGTGCCTGTTTATATCTGCACTACAAGTGTACAGTGTGTCAGTTTGATATAAGAGTACACCTTGAAAGGACTCCCATAGTAAAAACTTAAATATTTAATATATGTACATCTCACATAGTTATCTGTATGTGTTTGAGAATACTTGATATCTACACACAGCAAAATTCAAACTACAAGGCATGTAATCCATACCAACTGTGGTTGGCATACTGTCAGTAGGTCCCCAATACTGATTCCCCTCCTAACTGAATGTCTGTACACTCTAACTGATGGCTCCCATTTTCCTCCACTCCAAAGTCGCTAGTAAACACCATTCTACTCTCTGTTACTATGAGTTCAAGTTTTTTTTCTAGCTCCACATATAAACAGGATTATGAAATATTTGTTGTTCTCTCTTGCTTATTTCACCAAAGATGATTCCCTTCAGGTTATCCCTTCAGGTTATCCAACTTGTTGCAAATAAACCACTTTCTTTTTTTTTTTTTTTAGAGGTTGAATAATTTTATAATGTGCATGACTGTATGCATCATGCTGTGTGTATGTATGTGTGCATATCACTTTCATTTTCTTTTCCATTCATCTGTCTACAAATACTTTAGGGTTCTGTGTCTTGGCTACTGCAAATTATATTGCAACAAATTATAGGAGCAAATTA